CTGTGAACAGTAAACAGCCATCAGTGTGCTAATGATCCATTGTTAGGCTGATGGTCCTTCTTGAGCATGTGATCAGCTGGTTTTGGTTGTCAGCAGCAAAACTGGTTGATCCACTGCAAGAGGGTGGTGTTTATAAGACTGAGCTGAATACAGCACCTCAGACTGGGGAAGTCTTTCGGATGAAAGACGAAACGTTTCTACAGTTTTTTTTTGTTGTTTTTTTTGAATGTCCAGAGGACCAGATGTATTTATTTATTTTTAGATTTTTCTACCTGGATTATTGAGCATGTATCAGGATATCCAAGATGGAGTTGGTCACAGCTCCTCTGACTGAAGAAGTCTTTTGGATACAAACAAAAAAGAAACTGTCCAGATGACCTGACTGAAAATTGTTGGACTCTTCATTATATTAATTCTAATAATATTCAGTCAATGAGTAATCCTACCTGCCCACTCTGGGCTTGTGAGTTCATCATGGCTGCTGCATGATGGTGGGGCTGCATCTTGCTTCTTAAGGGCTACAAGACAAATTCAGTTATGTGGCGTTGCTTCATAATGTTGTTTAAATTATATAACAGTATGTTATGTCACAATAACACACACACAACACAATTCATTGACTTGATGATTAACTTGAATGGTGTTTTGCAGGCAAAGTTAAGTATCATGTCTTCCCCGTTTCATCATTCTCATTTAAATCTACAAACCGCGAGCTTGAGTAAAAAATGTGCCGACTTTTGCACGTTTAGCTGCGTCTGTTTCCAGAGCCTTCCTCTTTAATTCTACTATTCTCCGCACCACCCTTGCTTTTTCTACCTTCCATCTTTCAAAAACCACTGACTGAGTGCACTCACGTGTTACCTCAGGGCATGTCTGTAAAACAAGAAGTGAAACTAAAGGTGGAGGCGGGGCGGCCATGGGTTGAGGAGGCGCAGCCCTCGCAGCTGCAGCGGTGATGAACTGATGATGACGAGAATAAATGAGGGGCGTGGCGGCCCAGGAGCAGCGGTAGTGGTGTTCTGTGTTTATTTGCTTTTTTTTTTTTAGTTGTAAAAGATGAAGAAAAAAAAACGGGGAGCACTGGTTCTGCAGTCCACAAATCAGACCGGCCCACCGGGAAATCTCCAGGACGTTCAGATTACCCACTCCGGGCCTAGTCTCGCACCTTTGTGACCTCTGCTCCTTGTAGCCTCACTGTTCCACCAGCCTCCCTCTCATTCACACACATGTACTTCGTCTTACTTCAGCTGACTTTCATTCCTCTTCTTTCAAGTGCATACCTCCACCTCTCCAAGTTCTCTTCCACCTGTTCCCTGTTCTCACCACAGATCTCAATGTCTTCTGCAAACATCATAGTCCACGGGGATTCCTGCCTGACCTCATCTGTTAGTCGGTCCATCACCAGAGCAAACAAGAAGGGACTCGGAGCTGATCCTTGATGCACTCCCACCTCCACCTTGAAGCTGTCACTTCTACAGCACATCTCACCACTGTCCTGCTGTCCTCATAAATGTCCTGTACCGGGTGGGGGGTTCCTGTAGGCGGGGCACTTCGTTCTGTTGACAGGGTGGGGCACCCTCCTTGGATATGATATCTCCCCCGGCACCCTGCCATATGCTTTTTCTAAATCAACAAGGACACATTGAAGTTCTTTCTAACCCTCTCTGTACTTCTCCATCAGCATCCTCAAAGCAAAAATGACATCTGTGGTGCTCCTTCTCCACATGACACCATACTGCTGCTCATAGTCACCTCTTGTCCAAGTCTAGCTTCCACAATTCTCCCAGATGTTCATGTGGCTCATCAACTTAATTCCACTGCAGTTGCTACCCCTACTCCATTTATCTTTCTATCCACACCAGTGTTTCCCCTACCGTTATACAAGCGGGGCGCCCCGTCAACGGAACAGAGCACCCTGTCTACCGAACACCCCCCCCCCAACCAGCTGTTAAAAGGCGGCCTTTTCCCTCATGCTGAACCCCTGTTCCCACTCAAAAACTGCCGGTACAAGCAGCGCACAGCTCAGATGTGTCTCTGCCCTGCACCCCCTCCCCCCGCAGTCAAAAAATCAAGGTATCTAAGGGAAACGCTGCACACCCTGGTAGAAGAGCTTTAACCCAGCTCCAATGCTGCGAGCCTTGCTGCCCTTCCACTTGTCTTGGACACATAAAATGCCTACCTTCCTTCTCTGCATCATGTTAGCCAACTCTCTACCTTTACCTGTCATTGTCCTCACATTTGCCACCCTCAGTCCTAAATTCTTGACTTTCTTCTTTTCCCTCTGTGCCCCGACACGTTTCCCTCCTTGTGGTCTTTGACTAAGAGTAGCACAGTTTCAGACGACATCCTGTTTGTCAACAGCCTTGGCAGCAGAATCTGATTTTAATGCTCTTCTTTCTTAATCAAGCTGATTAAACGGTCTGTCTGCAGAATACATTTACAACTTTCCTGAATGCAAGTTTAATCCCGAATGTAGCAGTTGTTCTCTAAATGATAATTTAAAATAATTCTTCTTTTAGAAGATTTGTTGTTGTTGTTGTTTCAGCGGAGTGCGCCCTGGATACAATGAACTATGATGTCATCAAGGGTCGACCAATTCGAATAATGTGGTCCCAGCGTGACCCGGCGCTCAGGAAGTCTGGTGTGGGGAACATATTTATTAAGAACATGGATGAGTCTATTGACAACAAAGCGCTGTATGACACTTTCTCAGCCTTTGGCAATATTTTATCCTGCAAGGTAAGTCAATAGTTTTATTTTTTTAACGAAAGTTGTGTGTAATTATTAGTAGAGCCTTGAATGGTGCCTGTTTTTGTAGGTCGTCTGTGATGAGAAAGGATCCAAAGGTTACGGTTTTGTCCACTTTGAGACTCAGGAAGCTGCAAATCGGGCCATTGAAACAATGAATGGGATGCTTCTAAATGACAGGAAAGTGTAAGTACGCTAAAAACAATAAAAAAAACTGCTTGGGCATAAACCGAAATGAAAAGAATTTGCTTAGACAACGAGGATAGTAGAATTTGCGTTAGTTGTTTAAGGTTGACATTATTTACACTCCAGGGCAGACTCTTTACAGATAATTTCTACGTGTGTTTTCGTTTGTTTGCTCAGTCGAAAGACAGGGAAACAGTTGGAATCTGACATTGTGAACCCAAAGAACCGTTTCCTGTGGGAAAAATGTCAGTTCTCCCAGTTTAGGTCAGTACATAGGTACGATCTTCGTCTAGGTTTGTTGTCTTTGTTTTCTAATTTTAGGGTTGTGCAGACAAAATTGTTGCACAAAGTAAAACCAATTTAAAGCTGTTGACCATCTTTGGATTTTAGACTCGCAACAGTTTTGTCTTCATGTACTGTCAGTGGTTTTAGTGCTGGAGGGTCAAGCAGAACAAAACTTGGTAACTGACTCATGTTTTGACCCACTCTTTATCTGGTTTCTTGGGGTTTTGTGGTTCTCTCTGCAGGTTTGTTGGTCACTTTAAGTCGCGCAAAGAAAGAGAGGTTGAGTTTGGATCCAAAGCTGTGAAGTTCACAAACGTCTACATCAAAAATTTTGGAGAAGATCTCAGTGACGAGAAACTCAAGGAACTCTTTTCTGCATTTGGTATAAAAACCGTCCTCTGCTTGACTGGTGGCACAACAGTTGAACTTGTTTTTTACTTTTTACTTTCGTGTACTTTCAGGGAGGACTCTTAGTGTGCGAGTGATGAAGGATGAGAAGGGTCGTTCACGAGGATTCGGTTTCGTCAACTTTGCTCACCATGAAGATGCTCAGAAGGTAAAATGTGCAGTGTGGTTCCTGTCCAACAGAAGCAGTTCAATAAGCTGTTTTCAAGGATGAACTGAGAGCTGCTGCTTTCTGCAGTTCACTGTGGTCAATGTTTTTCAATTTATTTGGTTTTTATTATTAATATTATTTAGCTTTTTGTGATCTTGATTACTGAAGCTCATGTTATCTCATTCTGAACTCTTATCGGCATTTGATCAAAACAAAGATATATGCTGGCTCTGTCAGTGTCCTGAGATGACTTCTGTTGTGACTTGGCTCAGTAGAAATAAACTGAATTGAACTGGCTGTTTTTATGTGGAGCCCACCAGAGGTCGTAAGAATCCCTTCCCAAAGTTTAGTAAGTCGGCACAGATTTACCACAACTATTGTATCTGTGTGCAGCAAGTATTTAGTTTTGTTTTCTGTGTGGATGAGGAAACTGTAGAAAACACTTGAAGTGAGCAGAAGGTTTAGGAACATTGGTAAAATAGTTTTCCCATACATTACAAATAAATAAATTGTATGCCTCTTTTATGATTGTTTGTTGTTATTGTTATCATCATCACTCTTTGTTAAAATCAGGTCTCTATGCAAAACAGTCCCTGAGGCTCAATGGGATTAACCTGTCTAAAGAAAGGTTGAATGAAAAAATAAACACATCAGACAGATACAGTGCCTTGCGAAAGTATTCGGCTCCCTTGAACTTTTCAACCTTTTGCCACATTTCAGGCTTCAAACATAAAGATATAAAATTTGATTTTTTGTGCAGAATCAACAACAAGTGGGACACAATCGAGAAGTGGAATGAAATTTATTGGACGTGTCAAACTTTTAACAAATAAAAACTGAAAAGTGGGACGTGCAATATTATTGGGCCCCCTTGCGTTAATACTTTGTAGCTCCGCCTTTTGCTGCAGTTCCAGCTGCAAGTCTCTTGGGGTTTGTCTCTATCAGTGTTGAACATGGAGACACTGAAATTCTTGCCCATTCTTCTTTGCAAAACAGCTCGAGCTCAGTGAGGTTGGATGGAGAGCGTTTGTGAACAGCAGTCTTCAGCTCTTTCCACAGATTCTCGATCGGATTCAGGTCTGGACTTTGACTTGGCCATTCCAACACCTGGATATGTTTATTTGTGAACCATTCCATTGTAGATTTGACTTTATGTTTTGGATCATTGTCTTGTTGGAAGATAAATCTCCGTCCCAGTCTCAGGTCTCTTGCAGACTCAAACAGGTTTTCTTCCAGAATGGTCCTGTATTTGGCCCCATCCATCTTCCCATCAATTCTGACCATCTTCCCTGTCCCTGCTGACAAAAAGCAGGCCCAAACCATGATGCCACCACCACCATGTTTGACAGTGGGGATGGTGTGTTCAGGGTGATGAGCTGTGTTGCTTTTACGCCAAACATATCATTTTGCATTGTGGCCAAACAGTTGGATTTTGTTTCATCTGACCAGAGCACCTTCTTCCACATGTTTGGTGTCTCCCAGGTGCTTGTGACAAACTTTAAACAACACTTTTTATGGATATCTTTGAGAAATGGCTTTCTTCTTGCCACTCTTCCATAAAGGTCAGATTTGTGCAGTGTACGACTGATTGTTGTCCTATGGACAGACTCTCCCACCTCAGCTGTAGATCTCTGCAGTTCATCCAGAGTGATCATGGGCCTCTTGGCTGCATCTCTGATCATTCTTCTCCTTGTTCCAGATGAAAGTTTAGAGGGACGGCCGGGTCTTGGTAGATTTGCAGTTGTCTGATACTCCTTCCATTTCAATATGAATGCTTGCACAGTGCTCCTTGGGATGTTTAAAGCTTGGGAAATCTTTTTGTATCCAAATCCGGCTTTAAACTTCTCCACAACAGTATCTCGGACCTGCCTGGTGTGTTCCTTGGTCTTCATGATGCTCTTTGAACAGAACCCTGAGACTATCACAGAGCAGGTGCATTTATACAGAGACTTGATTACACACAGGTGGATTCTATTTATCATCATCAGTCATTTGGGACAACATTGGATCATTCATAGATCCTCACTGAACTTCTGGAGTGAGTTTGCTGCACTGAAAGTAAAGGGGCCCAATAATATTGCACGCCCCACTTTTCAGTTTTTTATTTGTTAGAAAAGTTTGACACATCCAATAAATTTCATTCCACTTCACGATTGTGTCCCACCTGTTGTTGATTCGTCAAAAATTTTTTAAAATTTTATATCTTTATGTCTGAAGCCTTAAATATGGCAAAAGGTTGAAAAGTTCAAGGGAGCTGAATACTTTCACAAGGCACTGTAAATCTGCTTCATCTTCTTTTCCAACAGTCTAATAAGAAACGTGCCAGTTTACATAATTTAGGATTTTTTTCCTTTTGCTCCTTTGACAATCCCAAACACTTGTCAAGTTTCGAGTTTATTTTTGATTAAAATTAGTCCGTAGTGTGTTGTCTATTTTTCTGCAGGTTTGAATATAAAGTTAGGAGTTTGTCTAACTTTTCTTACTTAGCCCAAACAGTGAGCTTCCTCTCAAACAGCACGTCTGTTAGGAACTCTCTCTGCATGGTAAATTGTAAATGGACTGTACTTATAGCACCTTTCCATCTTATTCCGACACTCAAAGCTCTTTACAACAATCTGTGCCTCATTTACTCATTCATACAGCAACCTACTAGATCTATACAAAGCTAATTGTACAAATCATTCTAAAGAGACTAGTTAATGCTTTATCATATTCATGCACTGATGGGACACACATTGGAGACAATGAGGGGTTCAGTGTCTTGCCCAAGGACACTTCAACATGTGACTGCTGGTGGAATCGAACCCCCAACTCTTGCATTGGAGGACGACTGCTCTAACCACTGAGCCACAGCTGCTCCATGGTAAATCTAAATTGAAAGGACTGCAAATCTAAAAACATAGTTTAATAAGCATGTTTGCACCTTGAAGACCACTCCTGCAGTTATCAGAGACTAAACAAATTTCTCAGCTTGTTCTTCATGTTTAGTGGAGTTTTTCTGATATAAAATTTTTGAGTCGTGGTGGTGAACAAGTTTGGACATAAGACATTCCTGATTCTGGTGAGCATCGTCTTTGATCCCAACACAAAATCTCTGTAATTTTAACCTATAAAATCTATCCGAGTCTGTTTGGTGCTGACTTTAGTCAGAATTACAGGATAAATAGTTTGACGATGACGTCACTGCAAGTCTTGTTTTTAAATGGGTGTTGGGAAGTTTTCCTTTAAAGGCCGCGTGTCATTGCTCCTCACTCTTGTTTCTCAGGCTGTTGAAGAAATGAACGGGAAGGAGATCAACGGGAAGACGATTTACGTGGGCCGGGCTCAGAAACGCCTGGAGCGCCAGGGGGAACTGAAGCGCAAGTTTGACCAGATCAAGCAGGACCGCATCCAGCGCTATCAGGTGCTGCTGAGTTTGTCACGTAGCATGGAAAACTTTGACGTTAAAACGACTTTGGATATTTTGTTTGTTAGATTTTGCTTGTACAAATACATGAAAGGTTCAGTGTTTATTATATTTAAGGTGTGTATTAAATGTTATGTTGCATAAACTGGCAAAAGTCCAGTTCTATTATGACTTGTTTGCAGATTTTTCCCCCATAAGTGTATTTTTGTTTCTGTCCATTAAAGCACATCCCAGATGTCAGTTTTTTTAAGATATGGATTAAAAACATTTTGGTTCTCTTATCACAGAACATACTTTATTTGTAGCAAAGTTGGTTTTAAAATCCTAACTCCAACTACAAAGCAGAAAATGTTTGAAACAGAAATGTTATTAAATGTTCACTTTGTATTTGTGCTGCTTGTATTCTGCCAGCACCTCGTGTTGACAGGTGGATGACATCATGATGTGGATTAATTTAGATCGCTTTCATCTTTTATTTTGACTTGCTGTTGTTGGAGTTGTTACTTTTCTTTCCTTCAGGGTGTGAATCTGTATGTGAAGAATCTGGATGACAGCATCGATGACGAGAGGCTCCGGAAGGAGTTTGCACCTTACGGCACAATCACAAGTGCAAAGGTGATGTTCCACATGCTGCTGTGTATAAATACACACATCAGACTAACACTGGAAATGACTGTTTGACAGACACTGGCACATTTTGTGCTGCATTATTTATATTTACACTTTACTGTATTTTTCGCCGTAAATGTCGCTCTGCCCTAGAAGTCACGTCAGTCCAAATATGTCTAATAAAGTGGAAAAATTCATAAATGCGCTGCTTCTGTTACGCGTCATCGCTGACGACCTGGAAATGTGGGCCGATGTGCCAAAAATCGAAAGGCTGCCAAATGGCAGCTGCTGGGGCGTGCACAGGAGGACTTTTAACAAGAATTTAACAATATCCTGATGCATGCTCAATAATCCAGGTAGAAAAATCCAAAAAAGTTCAATCTGGTCCTCTGGACATTAAAAAAAAACAAAAAACGAAACAAAGCTTTTGCTTTTAGGGTTTTTTTTTTTTTTTTTTTTTTGAATGTCCAGAGGACCAGATTGAACTTTTTAAGAATTTAACAAGATTAACACTTAAAAACAATTGTCTGCGCGAAATTATAGCAAAGGTGTGTCTGTCTAACTTTTACTTAATAAATGCACTTTGACGGTCAAATCAGCTGCATTTCACTGGGGTGGTGCAACAAAATGAAGCTGATTTGACGGTTGCTCCAAGCACATGACCTTGTCAATAGTATGGCAAGCCGATTGTGTCATTAATGGCCACTTTTACCTATTCCATGACACAACGGCATGCCGTACTACTCTGGCGCCATCTAGCTGCTGAAAATGGTAGTGTTCAATATTTTCATTCAGAATGAATGAGTCTGTCATATCGCAGCCAAAAATTGGTTTATAAATATGGAGAGACAAAAATCAATAAATGTGTCGCTTTGGCCTACAAGTTGCAGTGCATGTAAATTATATAAAAAACAAAACATGCGACTTATTCTGCCCCACCTGGTGGTGGATGGGTTAAATGCAGAGACTAATTTTGCCATTGTATGGAAACATACAGTGCTGACATTGTGATGACATTATTATTATTATTATAGGGTGAAAAACACGGTATATAAAAATATCTGGTTTATTAAATGTCCACTACACAAATGTGAAACTCCTTTTTTCATTTATTTTTTGTCCTTTAGGTGATGACTGATAGTGGCCAAAGCAAAGGCTTCGGCTTCGTGTGTTTCTCTTCTCCTGAGGAAGCTACAAAAGCCGTGACTGAAATGAACGGGAGAATCGTTGCCACCAAGCCGCTGTATGTTGCTCTGGCTCAGCGGAGGGAGGAGCGTAAAGCCATTCTAACAAACAAGTACATGCAGAGACTAGCTACCCTGAGAACCATGAGCAGTCCGCTCATTGACTCGTACCACCAGTCAGGGTACTACATGACTGTCCCGCAGGTAAGAACAGTCTCCTTCTGTTTTTTTTTCTTGAAATGTGACAAAGCTGAAAGTAAATTAGCATTAGAGTGAAAACCTGAAATGTTAATTGGATTTTATTTTTTTACGTCTGTGCTCTGCATGGACACATTCACGCTGCTGCTGTGGTGGTGTTCATGTCCTGCAGCCTCCCACTCGCTCCTTCTACAACCACAGTGCTGTCAGCAACGTCCGACCAGTCCCTCGTTGGACAGGACACCCGCCAAGACCACAGGGTGGATTTCTCTCTTCTTCTTTTAGTTGTTAGCAAATATCACCTGTTCATACAGCGCACATCTAAACTTCTCTGTTTCCAGGCCCTTACTCGCCTCCGTTTGTTGGTAGTTCTGTTCCTCGCCGTGCGTCCACCACCATCACCACAGTCAGACAAGCTTCCACTCAGGCTCCGCGCGTCCTAACCTCAACACAAAAGACAAGTACCAAAGCTGCACCTGACTCCATTCTCCTAACATGTCCTGCTCGTGCGGATGTCACTCTGACCTGTGTGGGGCTCTCTTCAGACAACATAGGGACTCAGACCGTTGGAGGACGCACGGACGTGGCCGGTGCGCCCAGAGGCAACCAGTACAAGTACTCTTCAGGCGTGAGGAACCCCCTGCACGTTGTCACTGTTCTTGCACCCATGACGAGGCCACAGGTCCTGTCCGCTAAAATAACGTTCATGTTTTCTTTAGTGCCTGAAAATGGTTTTGACGCTTTATCAAATGTAGGTTAAAGTAAAGTTATGTTCTCAGATCGTCTCTGCACCTGTGGTGGAACCATCTGGTCCAGAGCCGCTCACCGCCTCGGTGCTGGCTGCAGCTCCGCTCATGGATCAGAAACAGCTGCTCGGTAAGTCCTCTTTTTTTTGTTTTTTTCTTTGGAGCAGCTTGTGTGTATTTGTATGTTGTGTGTATTTGTATCTTGTGTGTATTTGTAGTCACTCTGTCTCTGTCGTGACGCACAGGAGAGCGACTGTACCCGCTGATTCACGCCCTGCACCCGACCCTGGCAGGAAAAATCACCGGGATGCTGCTGGAGATCGACAACTCTGAGCTGCTGCACATGCTGGAGTCGCCGGAGTCCCTGAACTCCAAGGCACGTTTCTGTCCCTTCTCTGGTATTTATGTGTAAACCCATGGATGCTGGCTGGAGCGTGAGCGCATGCAAGAACCCGACTAGTTGTTCAATGACATGAAATATATTTTATTAGCAAAGATAACATTTATTAAACATTACTTCTGTATTTACACCCCCCCCCCCACCCACCCAAAAAAAAAAAAAACAGTTAAACATGAAAATTGTGCTTTGACGAACTCACTGATGAAACAAACATTTTGTCAACTAGAAAGAGGAAACAGCTGCCAGGTATCTCTCTCTTTGAGTTCTTCTGCCTCATGCACGCTGTGGGTGACGAGCGTCATAAAAACAGCAGCGGAGGTGTCGGAGTTATTTATTCATTGTCTCGGCAGCAGAGGGGAGCGACACGGTTCAAGCATGGCTCCCAACACAACAAGGCAGCCATATTGTTCATAACTTTATTAGTCAGACTGAGAGTTGCCGGGTCCAAACAGTTACTGGAACACACCCTGTCAAAACACAGTTCCTGGATCTTGTTCCTGCAGGATCCGGCTCAGATTAAGCCCTGGCTGTTAGTGAAAATGTGTCCAGCATTTAATCATGAGCTGGACATTTGTTTCGTGTCTGGAGTTAAATGTCTGTTTCCTGTCAGGTGGACGAGGCGATGGCCGTTCTGCAGGCTCACCAGGCAAGGGAGTGTTCACCAAAGAAATGATGGTCTCAGGTCAGAGACAACTTCAGTTTTTTACAGCACCTCTGGTATTTTATGACAAATCTGTGTGTGTCACAAGAAAAACATGATGGTGAATTATCTATTGTGTGTTTAGCTGAATCCAGAACAAGCTGCTGTTTAACTCCGTGTGAAAATGACAAATAATTGAGCAAAGTCCTTCAAGTTATTAGATTTATTGAAGTGATGTTTCATGCAGCGAGCACTGACATGCAGTGAAAACACCAGACACTGAACATCTCCAGTTTCTGCACAGGAGTGGACTTTGCTTTAGATCTTCACAAGAAAAAAAACTAACGACCGTGTCCGTTCTCTTTTACAGGGCTCTACGATTTTCTGGTGGTAGAAATATATATTTGAAGTGATATTTTTGGAAAAAGTCTCAACAGGTTTACATTAGTATTGAAGTTTCTGAAGCTGTAAAGTTGCAGTGCCTTTTGTTAGAACATAAAGTTTCCAGTTTATGCATTAAACTTGTGTTGTGTCATTTCTTACAAAAGAAAATGTGTATCAGAGCCTTTCCTCACTGTGGCAGAGTTTTGTCTGAACATACCTGAATTTTAATCAAAGAAACTGTGAACATTTGTTTTAACCTTCAGTGTCTCCACCAGTGTGTGAAGTGCAGCGTAGCTGCTGATGTTTCTCCTCCATTTATTTTTTCTCAAGTTTTATTAACTGGTTATTTTCAGCTGGACATCAAGCCTTGTTGTTTTCAGACGGTGTTAAAACTCAGCATGTGGACTTTTGATCCATTTTCTGAAACCACCCACTTGTTTTTATTAACACAAGATACATTTTTTACCGTGCTGCATTGTAGGGTAAGAGTCCAGATGTTTACACTTGAGGGTTAAGACTTGTGTTGTTGCCTGATTCATCATCCATGTGTTGCATTGACAGATTATAGTTCTGGACCTCATCCAGGATCCAGGACGTTGAAGCCAGAAGACGAACAAAGTCCTTTAGTTTGAAGTTCTGTTCCATCCTCTTAAAAACATGATCTTATTATCAAGTTGCATCATCAGTCACACCCTCTGGTTCCAAACACTTTCATATTATACTTAATTCCACTCGTATAGCAGAGTGTGACCAAGTCATTGTTTTGGAAGGATCAAGTCAGTCGAGTTCCAAGTCTGAAACTTGACATTTCAAGTGGCGTCTGGGTAATACCAGATGGCTATGCCTCAGACTGACGAAGCCTCTTGGATGAGGGGCGAAACGTTTCTTTTTAACAAAAAAAAAAACGAAGTCCAGATGACATGATTCAACCTTTTTTGTTGTTATATACCTGGATGACTGAGAAAACAAACTTTGTGTATTTCAAGTCTTGTTTTTTTTTTAAATTCATTTAAACGGTGTTGGAATTGTTAAATACTATAGACCTCTTTTTTTTATCTGTCTTTAATTGTGATGATACATGTGTAACTAAACTTACAAAATGTTACACTCAGCACCTTTATATTGCTCAGTTCAATAACAGCTGTAAGAAGTCTTCCTTAATTTTCCAGAACAACAATGAAAAATGCAAAAGCAGAACTCCATGTCCAGACAAAAGGTTCTGACAGTTCCACATTAAAGAACCGTCACAGTGAAATTATTCCTCATCTGGTCACTTAGTGAACAGATGTTTGTATGTGTACATGTGTGAGTGACAAAGAAACAAAATAAGCACATGAACTGAACAATGAACAGGAATGTGCAATTTAAAGTTATTTTAACTCTTCTGAATTTGCAAAAGACCAAACTGGACAAGTCTCAAGTCATTTGTGCACATAATGACGCCGCCGTAGTTGAAAACTGGCTCCACTGCTGCTCTACATGCAGGCACTGCCAAACCTCTGGTGTCCAGCAGTGAAGGAACAGTGCATGTTCATTGTCCAGAACAAGAGCTCTGTCCATTCATTCAACCTTTATTTGTACAGGTTAATCCCATTGAGCCTCGGGGACTCGTGTACAAGAGAGACCTGATTTTAACAAAGAGTGACAACAGTAGACGGTTATAAAAAAGCATACAGTTCTATTTTGTATAGGCTTCGCCCTTTAAGAGCTGTCGCTGGTGGGTTTATCCCGTCATGCAAAGCACCACACTGAAAAATTTGGTCCACGCCCACCTGTTTGGGCCCCACCCGGTCCGTATAAATTACGTAAAGAGCGGGTAATCGGCTCCCATTTTTCTTCAGCGAGCTAATAGCACTGTCAGAAGAACAAAGAAGGAAAGTTGTCTAGCTTGACCAGCTCAAACTTTGTTGAGGCTGCCTGTGGCCCCGCCACGCCAACCTCCTGCCGTCCCGGTGAGTTCTCCTCCCCGAGGAGAAGCAGACGAGCAGTCTTGTTTCAAGATGAGCACCGAGGAGTATTTCTCTGGTGGATCGCTACACGCTGGACGACGCCATCTTGTAATTTTCCTTTTGTCTCAGACTCTCAGAGCGAATCAGATGGCTCCTCTGGGACAGGCGATGTCAGCAGCAGCCCCCCACTGCTCACTCCCTCCCGGAGAGCGTAGTGTCGGAACGAGGAGGGCTGAGCGAATGCTCACCCCTCCCCGGACCTTTTTCGCATCGGCGACCACACCGCTCCCAGCCGTCGGTGCCCTCCTCTGGAGCTGCCCGGCACAATCCAGGAGGCAGCCGACATAAAGGGACCTTTTCTGTCCCTCTCCTTTCCTCATCCAGATTGGATGATCTCGCGGGAAGGTTTTCTGGGCTCCACCCCGGCTCGCCATCCTGATCCCATCTGGCCTCGTTTTCCCAGCAGTGACGTCCTACTGGAACGAGGCCGCAGCCGGTTCTGGTAGACTGAGGGTGCCAGGTCCCATATTTGCGCCCATCACCAGAGTGGAGGGGTTTCACCGAGTGGAAATTCCCTTGGTGCCTCCCTGGAGACCAGCCTGGTGGAGGCTTTCGGTGCAAGATGTCCAGGTTGGACCAGTGTCCTGCGCCTCAGGGTAAGCATGACCAGATGGTGACGTTGCTCTCCAACCAAGCTCACCAGTATGCGTTCCAGGCAGCCGCAGCGAACAATACGTTACGCTGCTAGCGTACAGTGTTCAAGAGGCTGGAGGAAACCTAGAGCTCCCTCAGCAAGGCAGCTGACGTCATCCTCAACCTGTGCACCTCTTCTGTTGTCTACCGGTCTCGCATCGCAGCCCGGAGGACAAGGTTTTCCAGAGGTCCACCTGGCTTGTCACTCCACCTCCCTCTCGGAGGAGCTGCAGAAGGTTTTTTGTTGGAGAGTCCCATCAGCGACAGACGCGCTGTTCGGGACCAATTTCAAGACAACAACAATGACGTTCCACGGCTGCAGCAGCGTCTCCCCGCTCCGCTACGCCGCCAGCCCCGCCCGTCAGACATCAGCCCTTCTCATCCCGGCAACCGGAGGTTCATCGTTCCCTGAGATCGCCAACAGGCGGTGTCCTGGGACAACAAACCGCAGAGCTCACGGGGGGAGAAGATTCAAAATGACTGTTTGTGGAGGATGTGTGTAAAGATGACACGAGTTTTTGGAAATGAAACCTCATTCAATGATTAAAGTGTCTGATTTTAGCCAGTCTGTCAGCTTGGATGACTTCACAGCGGCTCCTTCACACATCCTCCACACAAAACGAACCGGTGGCCTTACAAAAAAAAAGTTTTTTCAGAATCACCGCTGCTCCAAAATAAACATGAGATGCTCGCATGACGCAACAGTCGAAAGCGAATGTGGTCCACAGAATGAGTCCAGTGGAATAACTCAATTTCAGCTCGAGCTGCACGCTTCTCACCGCAGCGGTGTCAAGCGTGCGCTCCCGCGACGCCAGCAGCCTCACTCAATTGGTGCTGCGTTGATGAAGACGCGCACACCGCTCCCCAGCACTCGCCGGCTCGCATCAGCATTAAGGTGAGACCGTAGAACGAGTCCAGTGAGAAATCTCGCTCTCAGCAGGAGCGGCACGCATCTCACCACAGCGGTGTCAAGCGCGCGCTTCCGCGGCGCCGGCAACTTTCACCCAAACAGCACCGCGTGGATGAGTGTGCACACGCCTCTCCCCAACACACGCCGGTGCACATCATCATGAATGTAAACCCGCAGCCTGAGCGCGGCACAGAGGCGCACTCTGAGCCCTTTCGAGGAAGCGCCTCGCCTTGGGTCACGCGGAACACACTTCCGCGGTGCATGACGGCGGTCGGGGCAGTAGACTGGCTGACGTCTGTAAGAAACATGATGCACCACCTAAATGTACAATAGAGAGGATGGGTCTCCCGCAAGATGTAGTGCGCACAATCCAGGATTCACATGCTGCATCTACCACAGCGCTGTACACATCAAAGTGGACAGTTTTTCAGCGCTGGTGTACAGAGAACGGTGTAGAGACCACCTCATGTCCACTAGGTGACGTGCTGTCTTTTCTGCAGCAGCTGATGGACAGAAATTTGTCGTTCAGCACAATTAAAATGTACGCTGCAGCCATCTCTTCTTGTCACAAAGGTTTCAGGGACAGAACCGCTTTTAATCATCCGCTGATGAAGCGTTTTCTAAAAGGTGTACAGAGACGCAGGCCTGTTTCACACCCACTTGTTCCACAGTGGGATTTAATACTGGTCCTGCAGGCCCTGATCAAAGCTCCATTTGAGCCTCTGGATCAGGTTCCATTTAAATTCTTGTCTCTTTAAACAGCCCTGCTGCTGGCTTTAACATCCGCTAAGAGAGTGAGTGATTTATCTGCCCTCTCTGTCGCTCCATCATGTCTCAGAATTTAGGCTGACGGCAGCTCAGCTGATCTAAGACCGAATCCAGCCTTTATGCCTAAAAACATCACGAGCTCTTTTAAATCAAGAGCGATATCGTTGGAGCCCCCCCCCCCACACACCCCACACACACACACAAATCAGAAGAAGAAATATTTTTTATCTCCTCTGTCCTGTGCGGGCGTTGACGTGTTACACAGCGCGCACAGCTGCAATGCATCAACATTTGTTTGTGCATAATAGAGATGCATCTGCAGGTCGCCCGTTATCCACCCAGCGCTTGTCACACTGGCTGTGTGAGGCCTTTTCTGAAGCCTACAGAGCATCAGATTTAGAGCCTCCTGTCAACCTCAGGGCACACTCGGCCAGGGGTATCGCATCTTCGACTGCTTTGCATAATGTATGACAATGCAGGACATTTTGCACTGCGGCCGCGTGGTCATCACCCTGCTCATTCATTCGCTTTTATCTACGTTATGTGACGGCCCGTTCCATGACACATTCTGTTCTTAGTGTTACAGAATGAATATTGTTGTTTCATGGAACTCTGTTTTACTCACATCTGTCTGCATGCATTACAGTGTGAGATGTTATCAGTCACAAGTTGTGATTGTTATTTTGGTTCTATTGTCACTAATCAGTTCATGACTATTGTTACCAATCAGTTCATTTGATTAATAATCAGTTCACTTGTTATTATTAATCTGTTCATACTGTTCAGCCGTGAATCTGTTGGTTCATGGCTCTTTCAGCTTTTTTCCCTCCCCGTTGAAGTTTTCCGGGACCATATCTGCTTCGCCCTTAACCCACCAGCGACAGCTCTTAAAGGGCGAAGCCGATACAAAATAGAACGTTGTTTACGTACTGTAACCCCAGATTCTGTGAGTATAGGCGTAGCCCTTTAAGCGTCGGGCCTCACTGGCTCCTGAATGGCTGAAGAAAAAGCTACTTGGGAGCTGATTACCCGCTCTTAACATAATTTATACGGACCGCGTGGGGCCCACACAGCAGATGGGCGTGGACTAAATTTTTCAGTGCGATGCTTTGCATGACGGGATAAACCCACCAGCGACAGCTCTTAAAGGGCTACGCCTATACTCATAGAATCTGGGGTTACAGTACGTTACCGATTTTTTTTAACAAGATGGCAAAAAAAGTAACAAACAGCTAGGCAAATGTAGAAAACTAAAAACAGGAACATGTCTGCATTGGTCCCTGCCAGGAGTCCAACAGATTCTTAAAGCCACTTAGAGAGGTCAAGGTCGAGAGCTTCAGGTCTTTTACAAGATATTCCAGGAAACGGGAGCGGAGTAGGAGAAGGCCCTTTTGCCTAGTTCAGTCCTCACTGAGGGAACACTGCAGGTAATAATGTCCTGAGAGCGCACTCTGTAGCTGCACTCACACAGAGACGTGTAGTGGACTAGGCCTAAGACCAAAGACTAATTCTTCAGAGGCAGGTTTTGGTCGGAGGCCTAGTCCACTACACATGTACAGGTCCTTCTCAAAAAATTAGCATATTGTGATAAAGGTCATTATTTTCCATAATGTAATGACAAAAATGAAACTTTCATATATTTCAGATTCATTGCACACCAACTGAAATATTTCAGGTCTTTAATTGTTTTAATACTGATGATTATGGCATACAGCTCATGAAAACCCAAAATGCCCGTCCCAAAAAATAAGCATATTTCATCCCACCAATGAAAGACAAGTGTTTTTAATACAAAAAACGCCAACCTTCAAATAATCATGTTCAGTTATGCACTCAATACTTGGTCGGGAATCCTTTTACATGAATGACTGCTTCAATGCGGCGTGGCATGGAGGCAATCAGCCTGTGGCACTGCTGAGGTGTTATGGAGGCCCAGGATGCTTCGATAGTGGCCTTAAGCTCATCCAGAGTGTTGGGTCTTGTGTCTCTCAACTTTCTCTTCACAATATCCCACAGGTTCTCTATGGGGTTCAGGTCAGGAGAGTTGGCAGGCCAATTGAGCACAGTAATACCATGGTCAGTAAACCATTTACCAGTGGTTTTGGCACTGTGAGCAGGTGCCAGGTCATGCTGAAAAATGAAATCTTCATCTCCATAAAGCTTTTCAGCCGATGGAAGCATGAAGTGCTCCAAAATCTCCTGATAGCTAGCTGCATTGACCCTGCGCTTGATAAAACAGTGGACCAACACCAGCAGCTGACATGGCACCCCAGACCATCACTGACTGTGGGTGCTTCACACTGGACTTCTGGCATTTCCTTCTCCCCAGTCTTCCTCCAGACTCTGGCACCTTGATTTCCGAATGACATGCAAAATTTGCTTTCATCCGAAAAAAGTACTTTGGACCACTGAGCAACAGTCCAGTGCTGCTTCTCTGTAGTCCAGGTCAGGCGCTTCTGCCGCTGTTTCTGGTTCAAGAGTGGCTTGACTTAGGGAATGCGGCACCTGTAGCCCATTTCCTGCACACGCCTGTGCACTGTGGCTCTGGATGTTTCTACTCCAGACTCAGTCCACTGCTTCCGCAGGTCCCTCAAGGTCTGGAATCGGCCCTTCTCCACAACCCTCCTCAGGGTCCGGTCACCTCTTCTCGTTGTGCAGCGTTTTCTGC